TCTGTCTAAGCAAAGAACAAGATGGCGGTTGTCTCAAAGTTTAAATATCCCACGAGTAACCAGTTTTGTGCCCATGCTCGAATGCCACGCCTACCCCGTCTCAGGGATAGCAGTATAAATATGTAAGCAATAATCTAGGGGAGGACATACAAGAGTGAGAAGTAAAATGAAGAAGGTTAATTATTCTCTTAACAATTTTTCAGGCTGAGATGAAATCTAGTTTCTGGGAGTATTTCATTGAAAACGGTAGGAAAAATCTTCTGCAGTATAACCGAAAGCAGGGTACTACGGCTAAAGTATTCAGATGTCACACCATAGAAGTCAATGACCTTGAAAGCTTTAGGTAACTCATGCATACAGAATATTAGATAGAAGTATAGGACAGGAATGAAATATGTGATTTTAGTATCTATCTTAGAAAGAAGATGTGCAACTGTTGTATAGATCATAGTTTGACCACGCTCGATATTACGGTGTTTGTTTACGGGTTCGTTTAAGTAGGAAATCTCTCTACCCATGAACTAAAGGTAGGACAATACTGATCAGTAATCACACCGTGAAGAAACAAACACATGATGCAATAAAAATACTAATAGAAAATAATATTTTAATTCAGAAATTCAAATCCACCGACCTGGCTATCAAACTGGGATGGTCCTACATAGGCTGGCATGGGACACCCATAAAGAACATGCTAACAACTAATGAGCTGAGAAATTTTGAGGTAAATAGTAAGTGTTATAGGTTGCCCACATCGCAGCAAAACTAATAACGTATACTTCAAGGTGAACAAGGATGCTACAGCTCATTAAGTCTGGAAGAAATTATCGGTTGTGAAAAATCCGTTGAACTGAATGGGGAGGCGGGATTGCATAAGAAGACGGTGCGAAAGTAATCCTAACAGAAGTGCTAGGATCAATTACATGGAAGAGAACGTGCTGCTGAAAGAACTGACTAAGAACTAAAATTGCCAAAGCTGCGTGGAGAAAATTAACCTTCAGTGACAGAATTAAAGAAAAACTTATTTAGTGCGAGCCAGCGAAATATTCAGTGGAGAAACTTCAACGCATTGTTGTGTTCTCGAAGTTCTCATAAAATAGCAGAATACGAGAGAATACAAATACAAAGTAATACCAACGGGATAAGAAAGGATCCTTCAGAAAGGAGTGAGAGCAAAAGAAGTGCTACAAGAAGAGAGGACGACACCGTCGTCTTATTGGTCTAGCGGTCCAAAACAGGGGTCACCACAGGTGACGAAGAGGCACTTCGCCTTAAAGAAACTTGTTACCCGAAGAGCGGAGTTGGTTGTTCACTAGTTGCGGGCTTCCCTCGACAACTAGTGAACACCTGTACAAGCGTTCGCGTTCCCTACAAACGAAGGAATGCAAGTCTACCAGAGAGAAAACAACACAACTGAACTGTCTCTCCAGAAATCAACACAGCAAAGCTATTCCATAATTATTATGTCAAAGAAGCCATCGAAACGATCAATGCACGGACAGAGCATAAGGAACGAGAAAAGCTTATGCTAGACCTGAATAGGCATCTGGAGCTGAATCCAACGGCCTAGAGATTTCCGTCATACAATGGCTGACCAAAATCGACTCCAAAAAAGGAATCATTACAAAAAAACTGCACTGCTGACCATATGTCAAACCACCAACAGCCAGTCAGCGAGCAGTGGTACCAGCAACCGTCAGGAATCTCCAATTGGCGTCGTGACTCCATATGAGAGCATTAGAGTTCGACGACCACTAGTGGAAGTTCCTACCTTCTCAAGCAGCTATAGGGATTCAATACATTTTGTCCGTTCTGTCTTCGAGTCGCTCATTCACAATGACAGCGCTCTTGAGCGACCAGGAAAAGTTCCTATTCTTGAAGCAGGCTCTCAAAAAAAGCAGCTGCTTCAATCAGCAACATCCCAGTTATGGGCGAGAAGTACTCAGTAGCCGTCAAAATCCTGAAGAAACACTATGATAGATTTGTATGCACCGCGGACATCTTGATCAACGAAATCGAACGACTACCGCGATTATGAAAACCCAAGGAGTTGCCATGAAACGCTTGAAGCAATCTCTTCGCGCATAATATATTTGGAACAGACCGAGCTGCCAATGAACGCCGATCGAAAGCTGGATCCTATGTAAGTTCACAGCGTTCACCTGCAGCACAGTAATCAGAGCTGAAAATCAAGCTGGATACTCCTTCGATGTGAACGAGATTAAATCCTCGGTGGAATAATTGCTATGCAAGGAACAACCGATCTTACCACGGGAACACTATTCGGATTTGATCAACGTTACTGCGAACATAACAACCACAAGAGAAATCCTTCAACAGCAAACCCCACTTGGGAGACAGGATGAAACCAGCATGCCTTTGTGGAGGGCCCCATCCTCCACAACTCTGCCAGAAATACAGCTCACCAGAGGAACGCCGAGCAGAAGCCAGGCGACAAAGAATTCGCTGGAGGTGCTTTAGCAAACTGCATGGCTCAAGACAGTACTCTACTGTCAGCAAATATCCGAAATGAAGATCACTATTCTTCTTTTTGCACCTTTTCTGCGAACCGACTGCAAAACGCAAACAAATCCGTTTAACGAGGACATCCACCTCCAACCGCTTGCGTCCAGGCGCCATCAGTGGCCAACATTTCGATGAACAATTGCTCCAAGCAGGCTCCAGAATTCAGGAATAACCATCCACGACCGAGTGTCCGGAGGCAAGCTGTGCTCAACATGCCACCGCGAGAGATCAACGCAAGCCGAATCAGGCAGCTTTCAATTAATATGTGCTACAGACTGCATCAGCACTAATCTTTGACGAAACTGTTATGGACTATCAACCAATCAATGTACTTCTCGATTCAGGAGTCCAAAGAAGCTTTGTGAGAGCGGAGACTTGTCCACTCTCAGCTCTACAACGCCCACCACCATAGGAATGGGAGGCTTCAAGAAGTTTTTGACTCAGAAGAAGTTGGAGTAACCTTGGCAAGCCTTCACAGCTCCAAGTTTTTAATAGGAAAACCAGTTCACACCAAGGCGAAACTAACCGCACCGACCTGGATTGCAGAGCTGTCGCGACTGATAAGTGCTTCATAAGTCAATGGAACCTCACAATTGCTCAGCACACTCTGGAATCAACCGAGGTCACACCTGATCTAAGTAATAGGACAAGATCTACTCAACCAAGTGATTTGTTACGATGCTCCAGCGATAATCCTTCCCAACAGGACTCATTGTTAACATCAACAATATTTGGTTACACGATTTCCGGAACGAGCAGGATCAGCGTCACATACCAAAGAAGGGGTCGTTGGAATCTCTCACTTCGCTACTACAGCTTCGGCTTCAACCAAGGAACTGACAAGAAGCACAACATCACCACCCAGAACGCAGGCGCCCGTTAATGCTGTTCCGGATCAGTGAATCTTCTCACCATACGCCGAAAAAGTGTGTCAAGAATGAAACGTCGGAAGCAAACGGCAGAAACGAACGCTACTAGGAATCAGTTAGTGCGACGCTTGAAGATTCAAGTCCTCTGTCGCTGCAACGCCACTGTTGCACCACATCACAACTGTGTCAGAACTCAGAAACTCAACTTAATAAGCAACGATGTGCACAGACGACTGCGTCTACAACTTCAGTGCGTGTTCGGGAAACCAGGAACCTGTAATGAATGATTTGTGGATATCTCCTTTGATGTGTTTCATTGACTAGTACGATTTATTTCCCTTAAAGGCACATCACGAATGTGACTACATTTCTACTCTTTTTCTGTGATTTTTATGACGAAAATTTGGACACTTTGTGATAGTTCTATTTTACACCCAATTCCATTGATTTTGTACTGACAACCGCTCATCTCGCCCCGCCCCAGTGATGTGGATTCACAACCTTTGACATATCAATAATAGAACTACCTTCTGGGATTGAACGATAGTGTGCTAGTTCAGCCTAATAACCTTAGGCGTACGAGTAGATAAGCACCACTCGAGACGATACCGCAGGCATGGTCGCAGCCGTATCACGAGTGTGCAATCGAGTAATTACCCCAGACCCATAGAGGCGCAGTGCGCCCTTTCATCCCTCCTGTTGAGTATCCCACAGCATAGGCGATACTGTATCTTAGCACCGCCCTCACTCACATGTATGTAAACTCAGAAATGTATGTATTAATGGATTCTGTTTGTGAGACGTGCGAATAAATGTTTCATGTTTCTGACTGAGTATTTTCTTGGCCAACCAGCCAGCCAAAGGGGAAACGGATACAGTACGCATGAAACAAGAAAATCACCAAAAGTCAACCGTCACTCCTACAACGCCAAAAATTTCCCAAAAACTCAAAAAAAACCCCTTCCCAAAGATGAGCAAGTACGACCCTCCCCTCCCTCCTTTTACAACGTCTGGAAGCTATAAAAGTCAGTTATCGAAATAATTTTTTTCTTAGCCCAGATACGACCCCCCCCCTGTTGGAGATTAACCAACAACGATATCCCCAAGTGGCAAAGATAGTACCACGGCCTGGTCACCTGCGACAACCAAGGTACGCCTCGCGTGGAAAAAAAATTGTGCTGCCCAAATATTTATGAAAAAATGGTAAATAATATAACATTAGGAAAAGAAGCAGTGAAACCCCTCGAAATTCCTCATGGGGAACCCATCCTGAACGCCGCTTGTACGTGCATAAGCAAAGAAAGGGGGTGTTCGGACGAGTCCCACCAGTTGATGCCAGCTCTTTCTTTTTATCACCAAACTCTCAACATTTCGAAAGCGAGAGAGTCAGAAGCGGAACAACTGCAACATCAGGTACCAGTCAGAACTGAAAGTTGGGCGTCGCCGTGGCTACTGGGCAGAGCCATGATCCCGTCGCTCTCTCACGCAAATGTTCTCGTGTTGCGAAAGTAGTACATCCTCCATCCTCCATGCTCGCAAGCAGGACTACCACGCAAAAAGCACACGAACATCATTTAAATGCAGGGCCTGCCCTCAAGCTCCAGTGCAACTTGTAGAGGTAAGTGATTCGATAGCCAGCCTAATGGTCTGTTCACAACGTAAGGTCGAAGTAATTCGATTTTTAGCCGCGAACCTATAAAGAAGCTGCAAACTGAATATGAAATGGGTGATGATCATAACACGGCACTGGAGATTATATCATTGACAAGAGTCGTAATTCTCTGAAAGAGATCGATAATATCCATGTTCGCTTTTCTTGGAACCTGGGCTTTCATCCTCATACGGAGGATGCCTCCGTATGGGGATGAAAAAGAGGCCCGGCCGGATCAGTAACCCATATCAGTAAAGAATGCGCAGAGAGAAGTGGATACGAGTACAGGGCGGAAGATACCCAAGATGTTCCTCGATAAGCAGGAGCAGGCTCTCGTCCATCACCTTCATGTACACCAAAATATGAAGCCATCTCCAATCGCAGCCGAACTGAAGAAGGCCTATGGAATTCACGTCACCTCCAAACAGCTGCGAAACTTCTTGTATGGAGTCACCCATAGACAGCTACCTGAGGACTGGCACTCTTAATATGGGAGGGTGCTGGTCCCCAGGTAGCTGTCCATGGGTGACTGATCCTGATTTTCTTATGAGGTGGCTTCTATTATTGTGTGCTCCACATCGAGCGTTATGGTCCAGGACATGATCTTCATAGCTGTGGCCAAGGCGCGAGTTGATGGTATGGACCGGACGTACCTGGAATGGGAAGACCAATATTTTCTTCGTGGACCCCGGACTGAAGGTGAGCGCGCGGTTACATCGAGCAACTCGAGAAGAATATCCTGCCCTCATGTCGTCGCCTGTACCAT